GTGGTGGCGGCGGGTCGACGAGAGGCGGCAGGACGGGCTAGGGAACGGTGGAGATGGCAGCGGTGGGGGATGAGCAGGAGGAGATGCGGGCGCAGGAGCTTTTGATTCGGAAGCGGATGTTGGCTTCGCGGGGAACGTGGACGTTGGAAGCCTTTTCGGCACTGATGCAGGTGGTGGCTCAGGCAAAGGTGTATGATCCGGCCAAGCCTTCTGCCTCGGTCAAGGCCGCCATCAAGGATCGCGTCGTCGAGCCCTGGGAAGCCTGGTGAGTCGCCCTTCGGGTCCTGGGTGGTGGTAGAGGTGTGTTGGGGGGTTGGGGGGTTATGCTCTTGAGGGTTGCTTCTTTCGGGGGTTGTTCTGGGCTTTGGCGTTTCCTCTTTGAGCCAGGTTTCTCGTCTCTCTCTCTCTCTCTCTCTCTCTCTCTTTTTTTTTTTTTTTACCGCGCCAGTGGCTTTAATCTGATCCATATGGCCATGCAGGATGAAGGAACACAAGTATGCACTCAGCAGCGCCGTGCCGGGCCTCGATACTCGGATTCGGCTCAGCATCAAGTTGTTTCAAGATGCACGCGCCCTCAAGCGCACTGGCCAGCCTTGGCGCGAATGCGTCGAGGCTGCCCGTGAAGAATTTGTCCGTCGTTCGCCTGGTTATGCCGCCCTTCTCAGCCCCCTGGCTTCTTTTACCGCCGTGGCTCCAGAACACCAGGTACACCTTTGACTCTATGTTTGTTTGGCACCTTTCCTGTGTTTCTTCTGTACGCGCATGTGTGTGTGTGTGTGTGTGTGTGTGTGTGTGTGTGTGTGCATGTGACGCGCACACCAATCCATGCACCCACACAAACACTTGTGCTGGGTGCGTCCAACTCATGTCATGCGGCATGACTCATTCTTGTCATCAAAGGCCTTGCTGGCTGCTCTCGAGGACGTGTGTGATGCATATGCAGCATGTCAATCCACGCGGCGCAAACGCGGCAGTCAAGCCTCATCAGCCCACATGGCTGCAACGCCGGATAAACATGGCCCCGGGCAAAAGGCCAACACGGCTAGCCCGGGTTTGTCGGCTGCACCCTCATCCGCTGCTTCCCGATCCCCGTCCCCAAGCGCATCCGCAGCCACAAGAACAAACGACCTGTCCACCGGTCAGGCATCCGCCTCCTCGGATCATCCCAAGCGCTCCACAGCTCATGCCCAAACCTCTGGCCCTGTGCTGGGTCGGATCGAGGCAAACGGCGACTCTACAACGACAGCAGCAAGCTCTCGTTCCGCAGACGTTGCCAGCGCACCGGGCTCGGTTGAGGCGATGCGATCCCTGCGACGCATGCAGGACATGGTGCAGCACGACCTGGTGGATGGTCGCTTGAGCGCCCAGTTGCGCTTACGCGCACAAGAACGTATCCACGAGGATCAAAGTGAAGCCGTCTTGCGCGAACTGCGCCTATCGCACCAGGCCATCATGACCCGCTTAGATGACCTTGCAGCCCGTCAGAACGAGATCATCACCTTTCTAGACTACTTATATGTGCGCGAGGAGGGGCGAGGTCACACCTCTGGTCAAACAGATTCGGCAACAGCTCCAGCTCGAGCACGTACCTCGATGCGCGATCGGGCCTTGTTGAACGCTGCCACAAATGGCTCGGAGAAGCAACCTGCGCCCACCGAAGCAAGTGTGCAAGGGTCAACTGCCGAGCACTCGGCTCGACGACAAGCTCGCGAATCTCAAGCCCAACCTGCCAAACGTTCTCGCCTCGCCGAGGCTGCACCTACGTCCTAGCACATTCGTCAAAGCAGGTCTGACTTTACTGCTTTCGTTTCGTTTCATCTTGCTTCGTTTGTTGTCAAGGGGCCGAGGCCCCACATCGTTGTCGCGTGCCAATCGAAGTCACCCCTCCAAGCAACACACATATTGCTGCCCTCAACAATGAGAGAATGAAATGTCTATGGCTGCAGACTCGAAGATACGTCTTGCTGCAAAAAAAAAGAGTGAGGCACGCCAGTATTGGGATGGAGGTTTCATCATCAATTAGGTCTGTCTTGTCGGGATCTTGGGGGACCACAACATCATGTCGAGGTGCCTCGGTTCGGCCTTGCAATACCCTCAATAGGAAGGCCAGGCGCCACCTTAGTCCGAGAGCGTCCGCAACGCAACGCCAGGTTTCTGCGTGGCGTCCTCGGGTAGGTACGCGTCTAATTGAGCTTCACGAAGATCGGCAACGAAGCGGGCCAGGAAGCGTGACTTGTGTTGTAGCAGTGTTTTGTATGCCGCGACCACACCCTCCTGTGCAGCTTGATTGGCGTCTGGGTGACAAGCCGCGTGTTGGCTCAAGGCCGATAACAATCCCAGCTGGACAGCCGCCTCTAGTTGACGCGGCGCCTGGCAACACAGTGCGTTGCTGAGGGCAAAAACGCACTCCTTCAACACGGCTGGATTGGACTCCTCCTTCATCATCCTAAAATCCAATATTCCGAGCCAATGTAGGCACAAGCGGCAGTCCGGTGTGAGGAGGGAGGGAGAAAGTGATAGAGAACAAGACAAATGCAAAAAAAAGGCTGTGCACCTTTCGATGCTGGTGGCGCTGACAGACTACCTACTCGATGAGCTTGTCCATCAACTGATAATCCAGGGCGGCCTGAATTTGCTCAAAGGAACCCGCCATGATGTTGGAGGTGATCCACGCGACCTCTTTACGCATGTGATCGGCCTGTGAGCAGCCAAGGGCACACTGATGAGCCTGAACCATGCTTGCAGCGATGACGGTACACACCACGTGGCAATCGCGACTGGCAGGCAGTGTGCACGGACACAGAGTCGGTGCCGCATGTATACTCCGATGCACACGCACGTACCGAGTGGTCCATAAGCCGCGCCAAATGGCGGAGCACACCCAGATTGATGGCTACCTGAGTGATGTGGGTGGGCCCAGAGATGAGGTTACCTGCAACCAATTTGTCAGGGGTAGGTTGTGGTGAGTACAAGTCATGTCATATATAAGAAGGTTAAAAGGGGGTATAGCCCACATACCAAAACAGCGAAGTGCATATCGGGCCGTGTTTGCATCCTCGCTTGAGAGCAGCTCGGCCAATACATCTGTGCAGTTGGCATGTAGCATCAACTCGAGCCGTTCGTTGGGGCCGTCCGTCACGTACGACAAGCCAGCACTGTGGGTTTGGGGTTGGGAAGGGCAGGGCGGTGAGGTTCGTCAATAGCATCAAGGAGTGGGGGCGATGAGTAAAGTAAGCCTCAGCGCGCCATGCAAAGCCGATGTTCACGAGAGATTAGCGTACCAAGCGTCACGCAGGTTGTCCGGATTGGTCTGTCCCAGATGGGACACGTAGAAGTCAATGAGCTAGAGGCACAGCAAAGCAGCCTTGAGCAACAAGAGGCGGTGGTGGTCGGGTGGAATGCCATGGCAACAAAGCCAATAATGCAGGGGGGCAGGTTGACGTACCGTTGACACCATGCTGACATCAAGCGGGGGCTTGCGAATGAGAATGTTGTTGAGCAGCCACAAGCAAGTAGGAAGGACGGTCTGGTCATTGCGTACTAGATCACGCAAGGCACAGGCCGACAGGACGCGAGGCAATACATTCGCACATGAGCACCACCAGACGGGTAGTCCAGCACAGGCGAGCATGCTAGCAAACCTACCTTCGGTGGGAAGGGCCATGACACAATCAATGGCACCAAGTTCAAACATCTTTTGAGCAAACTCAGCGCAATCACCCGCGATGTTGGCTAGAGCCCAGGTGCATTGGGCCGTCAATTCGGCAGCAATGTTTGAGTTCACGTGCTTGAGCAGCAGAGGCACAAATCCCTACATCAGCCCACGCACAGGGCAATCCCATCCGTTCCCAGGCATCAGCACAGCCGGGAAAAATCTGGAAGAAAAAACAAGATCAAGCCACGAGGAGGACGGCCACAGCGTTGTGGTAGGAAGAAGAGCAGGTTCGGACCACATCAACGACGGAGCGGGTTTGCTCAGGACTGCCCGACGCAACGTTGGAGGCAATCCAAGCAACTTCATGCAGGATGGCGGGATCCTGGGCGAGCGAACACGTAAGTCAAGATACAGCCGGGGGCAGAGGCGAAGGCGGGGCTGGTGTGAAATC